CCCCCCCCCCAGCTTCACCTGTTATCATAAGCTGTGGGGCAGAGGATATTTAATAATATCCTAGGAGGAGTTTGAGTCCAATACATACTCAGCCAGTTCAGATCCTCTAAGTGGTAGAACTTATACTTTTGTATTTTAGGCTGCATTTCTGCTTATGGGTCTCTTATGTTTAAGAATTAGTAGATAAATCAAAAGCCAATAGAGACGGAAATTCTCAGCATGACCTTTGAAGTAAATGGGTGTGAAAGTTGTGTACGCATGCTCAGAGCTAGACTTTGACCCTGAAATATTATTGGTAGCAAAGGGAGAGTAATAAAATTAAGTTTTAGACTAATTACAGGCTTATGACGGAAAATGGGATCAAGATGATTATAGTTGTCTAACATTGAGTGCTTTGAGAAAAAGCATTACTTGGAGACGCTCAGCATGGTTATGGCACTGAATTTCTGCTGCACTTTGTTTCAAGGTTCCTAGTATAAAAAAGGGATAAGGATTTTCAGTTAGGAGTTTAGCATATTTGACTTTGGTGATTAACAGTACCATGAGAGATAACTACAGTTCTTTGTAGGTAGTTACAGGTTATCTGTCTGCATGTGCTGTATGATTGATAAGGTTCTCTATTAGGCATGTATTTCTCAATTTTGGAAATCATTTTGAGATGTACTATTATCTGAGATTTTAAAAAGCTAATGAACAAACCAAGATTATGCCCTTCTTGGGCCTGAACATGGACTGATAGGGATAATCATATTAGCAGAATTATTATTTTTGTTGCATCCTGTCTTTGCCCTCCAAAACAACGTATAAGTAAGTAGCTCTTACGTACATGCAGCAGCAGCGCTTGGAAATCTGATTATCTAAATTTCTTTTGTTCTAACTCTTATTGCCTTGGCCATTGTTAGATGATACATTAGTTCCCTTTTGTAATATTTGCTTTATGTAACTTCATATATCTTTATACCTTTTATTTTTCTCATGTCCTTCCTGCACTGTTCATCTTCTATTTAAGTTGTAAA